GGACAAAATGACACAAATATTTGTTCACCGGGTGGGTCTCTGAAAATCGTAGTTTTGGCGGGTCTCGGCGTACAATCGTAAAAGACATCTAAAAATCGTACATTGTACGCCAAAATCGTAAGAGTAAACAGGTCTGGTATAGTTTTAAATGTTAAAATAAATAACCATAATCTTTCAATATACGGAATTATGAGTAGAATTATATACCGGTATGTATTTTTTCTAGAAAATATTAAACAATGTGTAATAAAAGGGATCTGGGATTTTAGAATTTAAATGATGTTCAGGGATGTGCAAAAAAATGTGTGGTTGTGTAAGTAGGGGGACTTCCATCTCGTGGATGATTTTATTAAAGTTTATTAAAAACTGTGGGGGAGGGGGATCTGATACTTTCATTTAAAACTTCATAGAATTAATCAGAAGTTTAGGGATTCAACAATAACACGCCAGCGAGTGCTACTTTTTACAATTAAATATTTTTTAAAAAAAAGAATATTTAAATGTTATTTCGTATTGTTTTATTATACTCTCTATATAGCTTTATTATTTTGTTCACATGGTTTTATTATTATTATTTTCATAAAAAAAGTTTTTTTTATACTTTTTATTTATACTATTTTATTGTACTTTTCATTCTGTCCAACAATGTAGGTATTCAAAATTCTAGTTTCAATCTAGATCTATTTTGTTAGAATGTTCATTCAAGTTTCTTCAAAAATTATGTAAATTGTGATATAAGCCTGCTTGTGAATAAGCTGTTCTAACTGTATATTATGATATAAGCCTGCTTGTGTATAAGCTGTTCTAACTGTACATTTTGGTATAAGCCTGCTTGTGTATAGGCTGTTCTAACTACATAATGATACAAGCCTGCTTGTGTTTAAGCAGTTCTAACTGTACATTATGATATACTTTAAGCTCTTTTGACTTTTTAATTTTCTTTGTATAATTCCATTCATAGACTTTAACATCCTTTTGTTTTTTCTCTAATAAACAAATAAACATTAATAACTTACTTATTCAAATATTTTATATCTCAGAGTTGTGTATTAATGTTTAGCTAAAAAAATATGTCACGTTTTATTTGTTTAATTTTAGTTTCTAATGAGTATCATAAGTATGGACACAATATTTCGCTCCAGAAATAGTTGAAATAACACTTCGTAATGACAATGAAATGAACATACCGGTACTTAAAACATATCAATATCATTGACATCAACAATTTCAGCTCTTGTCAAAAAATGTTGATAATTTGAAACAAAAAGCCATACTGCCACTATTGTAACTATGGGTCTAAATATAAAAAAGCATACAAAAATTAATTGGAACCCTGCTGGTCGTAGGATGCATTGCGAGTCTTGGGGAAGTAAAGTTCCCTTGGGGCAATTTAAGTATCGCTTACAAGTTTGAGTGTGTGGCCAGCGCAATAACTAGCCACCTTTACCTTTCCCAGCTAAGGCCAGAGCTGGGTAGACTTAGGGACACCCTCAAGGATGAGGAAAAAATACTAGCCTTAAACTTAAACAGGATTAGATTCTGTTATTATCAATGTAGGGCCTATATGCCCCCCCCCCCCCCCCCCCCATCTATCACATGGCCGCCTGATGCTGCCACCTCTCTGCATCATAATACTGTTGCACGGCATGGCTCTGCAACTATTTCTGACAGAACATTTCTGGACTAGGTGATATATCATAGTGCTTTAAAAAACTAAATGATACCCTATCAAGCTTTGACATCATTTTAAGACCTCTCTAAAGTGGGTGTAAATGAGTCTACATGAAGAATACCGGCACCATTTTTATTACTGGTATTACATTTAATATTAAATACCAGAAAACTAGTTATGTCTAGAAGTAGGAGGTTTGACTGGATATATTAGTAACACTCTATAGGTTGAATAGACCCTATGTCTATGTTGGTCCCTAACAGAGCAGATGTAGGCACAATTAATTATCTTATATTCAATTTATAGGCTATAGTTAGGCCTATTAAATTTTTTACTCATACTCATGAAAGATCGATATATCCTACGCCTACACTTCTTAAAACTACCCCCTGCCTTTAATGTGATCCTAATTATTTCTAGAAATGTGCGTAATGGCGTAATTGTGGTAAATTTCTGTCCGCAAATAGCGCTCTGCATTATTTGAAAATTTCTGTCTACCAATAACGCTCTGCATTATTCACGAAGATTTTTATCTGCCGATAACGCTCAACATAATTATATCTGCGAATAACGCTTCCCATAAATTAATAAAGTTGAAGTTTAAAGATAGCCTAGCCTAATTGATTGTACTAAAATAAGGGATTACCAGTGCCAAAAAACCATCACCATATTCTATGTTTGGGAGTAAGAACAAACTTGGGTAGACCCCAACTTGAAGCTTTTGAGAAATATATAATATGGCAAATAATAAGAGCAAGTCTAGTGTAACAAGTTAACACCTGATGACTGATGAGCCCAGAAAAATATTTTTTTTTTTTTTTTTTTTTTTTTTTTGGGGGGGGGGGCTCTTATTTAGTATTGTGCTTTTCCATCCCCAGGCTAAGCCTGTTTTCTAAATAAGAAAGACGATTCAATTATCTATTTATTTAAGAACAAAAAGCGAATCTTGCCTACTTATCGTGTTCATATTTTTGGCTTTCGCTGCACAAGAAATTGTTTTTATGGGCTTCGTCGTCCTACCCAGACGGAAGTCATTTGTTTACTACTTTGGTTGGTCACGTGATATATGCTTACATGGAGATAATAATTTGATTAAAAAAAACGGATTTAAGATGATGAATGCTCAACAGATACTTGATTAATAAATAAATTTAGAATTTTTGTTTGTTATATTTTTCTTTTAAATTAAAATACATATCTTTGGTTGTTTAAACGACATGCACATATTTAACGACATTGAAATAAAGATATGTTTACAGTAATATATTAAATACACAAGACTAGCTTCCCTTGTTATGTTGTTTTCTGTGGATTCACTGACGTGGACCATGATAGTAATGATAGTATATAATATAAGTATATGTTAAAGAAAACATCCCAGAGAATATTGCTTCCTTCAGCTTATAAATTTTAAATTAACTGTCTAAAAAAAAAAGCTGGCTGTTATTCAGTCTGCTTGACAAGCTCTCTACAGCAATGACGTTATTAGATATATGAATATGAAATAGAAATGGCTGGTTATATTAAAGGAATATCCCAACCAAGTTATCTTGGATCTTCTGGATCCTCATCTAGAGATGAGAAAAAATCGGCACGTTTTGGAAAAAAGGAAGAAAAATATGAATATAGAAGTAATCACATTAACTATGGTGGTTCTCACATTCAGAATGTCAAGGCTGCACGGGTATATATGTTTGGAGATAGCAATTTTGCAGAAGACGAGGACGAAAATATTGAATTTGAAATGAGGTCACGACATAAGAAAGGTTCCTCATTTATCGGGGACAATAATATTGAAGATCCAAAACAGTACTTTGAAAAAGAAATTGCAGAAGGAGAAACACTCCAAGCCATTGCTCTTAAATATGCATGCCAGGTATTTTAAATAACCAACCAATTTAAATTTCATTCTATTTTGGTTTAGCCTTTTGACTACCTGAGTAGTAACTCCTCACATGACATTTCAGGATTTCAAGGCTTTAGTTAAATTGGGCATTTTTAGCTTCTTTTTAAATACCTGCTGTTTATGTATGCATTAGCCTTTATTTAAGTTATCCAACAGTCAGCATTTAATTGCAAGTCTGAATCAAAATATTTATACCCATGGCATTAAAACTGTCTATAATCTAGTTCTCTGCTCCAGGTATTTACCTGCTTGATTTCAATTTCAGGTAATGATGAAATGCTAGAGGGAGGTAAGAGTAGTGAATTTCAAAGTCAAAAGATTTTCACCCTCCCTCCACTTTCTGGACAAAAACCTTGTGACAAGGAAATATTTAACAACTGTTGTTTGAACACTTATTTATATTTTGTTAACAAACATTTAGCCAAACCAATGCAAACCATATGAATATCCGGTACCGAAAATGCCCCCACATCTCAAAATGCAGAAAATGACACCAAGTAATGAATAATAATAATAAGGTTTCAAGGATAGAATGATGTAGATTACACAATTTATGTTTGAAAGAAGTGTTGTATTAAACATTAAAACATTTTGTATGTTATCCTTTCTTATGAAATATCATATGTGAAAGAACATTTTGTAATCATATAGCATAGGCTGTGGATCATTAAAAAATGCATTATTAATTTATAAAATTAGCACATCTTTTAACATAAATAAAAACTCTTGATATTTTATTTGTAATTAAAAACTGTAAATTTGCACAATTGCAGGTATCTGAAATTAAAAGAATCAACAACTTAATACAAGATCAAGAATTTTATGCCCTTAAAGTGATTAAAGTTCCTATGACAAAATATGGCATACTATCTGAGCAGTTTGGCACCCAAGATCAAGTCTTAAAACATCCTAGGAATGTTAAAAATCAATCAAGCAACTCATTTCTTAGTGAGGATCAAGATTTATTAGACCATTTTAATGAAAGTGACTCACAGCATGATTTTAGTGATCCTGAAACTCAAATAAAAGTTTTAAGGACGTTAAGTATAAGAGATAACTTAACATCTGATGACAAGGAGGCTGAAAAGTTTCTTCAGAAAATGGATGAGGATTTAAACAAATTAAAACAATCATCTCGTGGTGAAAGAGAATCACTCACTGAAGTGATTTCAATATTAACTAATAAAAGCATTCACCCTTTAGAGACAAGCAAGCCCATTAGTAAGGGCAATGGGGCAGACTGTGGAATAAGTTGGTGGTCAATTCTTATAGCATCTCTTGCCATAGCAGTCATAGCTCCTTTGGTTATTCTGATTTATTATTATTTTCTTCATCATGATGGATCATACTGACTAGTCTTTCCCATTCAGATGTTGTTCTTGTGATGGAAGTTGATACCAAATATTTTAGATTCTTATTGTGCCTTGAATTGTTATAAGTACCGGTAATTAGATAATGCTCATGTTTAAATTTTCACTTAAAAATGCAGTCATCTTCCTTATGGTAGATGGCATTCATAAATTGAGTGCTGTAATTGTGAGTCACATAATACAAATAATTATTTTTTTATATAACAGGTAGCTCTATTAAATTATATGTCCCACATATGTTTAACTGCCCAAAAACCTTTTTTTAAATCTTTGATATTATATTTTATCAAATTCTTGCAAAAAACCTTTCATAAACTGGGTTTGAAAACATTTTTTTTCAGAGATATCTACTGTACTGTAAATATGCCCACCGCACTTAAAAAAAAGCTTAGGTTTTTTTATACATTTTTATGTTATAACAAGTTCTTTCTTTTACAGTATAAAACTCATTTTTTTGTTATAACTTGCATAGAAACAGAACTTAAAAATATAAATTCAGAATTAAAAAATTATATTGTAATTGAAAAGATTTGGATAAATTTCCTAAAAATTCAACCAAAGAAGATCCATTTAAGAATTATATTTGTTACCTTTGTGGGAGAAGTTAATATGAAGACAATAACGTTGAAAGCATTAGAACCTGCCATACTTATTTTATATAAAAGCACACATTATGGCATCGTCTTACAGATGAGAATGGGTGGGTATTAAACACTTGGTTTGTTGGTTTCAAATAGTCTTTTCTTCTTAAGGGTATTTCTTTGTTATTATCACATTCATTTTGTATACATTTGCTATTAAGGCCTCTGACTTTGAATTTTTAATTTATAAAGATAATGCTATGATATTTGGAAACTGACTATAAATTTGGTGTTTGTGTTTATATTCATACTTACTGAATATTACTTAAGTGTTAGTTGGGCCTCCATTAGTCAAATTCAGACCTGGTAATGTGTACTTCTGTTGCTTTTTTGTTTTTTTTGTAGTGTTAGCTATATTGATCAAGATTTAACAAATATTTTTGGCCAATTACAATACATTTGACTTAAGGCCCTTCAATGATTAACTTAATTGATTATGACAAGATGTGAAATAATAATTTTTAATAATATAATTAGTACAATTGATCTAAACTCTGGGGAAAACAATTGGTTAACTTTTTAGAACAAATATTTTACTGAGATATCAGCACATTTTTGAGTATCTAAAAATCCTTTGAACCCTGTAACATAAGTCAAATGGTAATAAGGGGGAGAGACTGCAATCAGGTTAGAAAAAAGGAAATGAGTGAAACAAATTATGGGAAAAGCTGAAAAAAAACAAATGTTTCGTCACGAAGCCTTCATCAGCGAACAAACAAAAGTAAAAAAGACCAATCACAGTGTCCCTTTTTTGCCTGTTTTTAATCTCTCACTTATGTTTTGTCACATTCTTCTTGCTCCCTCTCAGATACTGTAGCTAAGTGTTATTTTATTTAATTATATTTTTACTGATTGTTAGCTTCTTGCGAACACGTTAGTTGTTTTGCTGTATCCTTTTTTTAGGTTTTCCCATACTTGGTTTCACTCATTTCCTAACTTAAGTCAAGTTGGGATAGTTATTTTTATAATTAAGCCAACAGCTAAGGCCAGACTTTAAAAAATAACTTTTAGTTGTGTGATTAAATATTAATTTTTGTTAAATATCATAACCATTTATAATTTTAAAAAAGCAGGATTATTTTTTCAAAATAATATTTAATTGCAGGCCTATTTCAAAATGTGTTCATTTTTTCCTAACTGTCAACATCATGTCAGTAAATAATCTTTGACAATAGTTTGCTTAAATCCTAGAAATTAATTGTGCCTTTGTCTTAAGAAGTTATCATTTTTTTTTACATCTTTGTTTATGGAGCGTTAACCACTTTTTTTTTTCATGGAATAGATGATCTGTTTTTTTAACAAGGTCCAGTTGATTTAACCTTCAGATATTAATAATAAGTCATTTATAAATATAACATTGAATTCACAATGCTTTGAAAAAATACCACCATGTGTGTAACTCGGACCTATTTATATATATATATATATATATATATATATATATATATATATATATATATATATATTTGTATATAAAAATAAAAGTGATGTGGAACACACTATATTTTGTCTTTTTTGGAGAGTATGTTTTATGTGCTCAGTGTATCTTTATATATATTTTTTTTAATATATATATAAAATTGAATTCACAATGCTTTGAAAAAATACAAATATGTGTGTAACTCACACTTATATATATATATATATATATATATATATATATATATATATATATATATATTTATATATATTTATGTATAAAAGTAGAACTGAAGTGGAAAACACTTTATTTAGTCTTTCTTGGGGAGAATGTTTAATGTGCCCAGGGTAGCTTTATTAACATAATTTTTAAATCACATTAAATTGTTATTTAAATTGTCACTATGTGGAGTGATATTGTTGTGGAACTTTTCTTTGCTTTGTTATTATTTAGTTATAGATTAGGGCTTTGAAATTCAGCCTCAAATGAGAGATTTTTTGAATTCTTGAATTGTATTAATTGAGAGTGCTTATATTTCTCAGCATTCTGATTGTATCGATCCTTAGCCTTCAGTTCGAGGCATTATCAATTACAGTGTGATAAAATTGAACTTAGATTGTTGACAATAGCTAATTTGGAATGGCTACCTGTTTCTCAAATAATGGTTAGTTTAACTAGTTATCTAAAAATTATATATTTTCAGCAAAATAAAACATATACCGGTATCAAGATTATATTACAATGGTATCGTACCTACAATTATGTATCTACAAAATGTGTAATTTATTGAAAGAGGAAAAAATTAATCAACACATTTATTGTTACAATCATTTAAAATATATTTATATCTTCCTATTAATGTTAATGAATCAACTTGACTTAATTAAAAAAAAAATAATGTCCATAAACTTGTTTATTTAATTTATTTGTTACATTTTGGAACATTGTGTGCCCTTTTCAATGCCTTAAACACATTTACATCTGTAGCTACAGACTTTAATTTGTCTAATATCTTTAAATTTCATGTTCTATATGTGGTCCACTTGCAAAGGGTAAAAAATTAATATTTATAGTCTTGTTACCACAAAATAAAATTGACCAAGCTTGTGTCTCATTTAAACTATTTCCTAAATTTCTAGAGAGAAGACAATATAATTTAGTTTTTCTTCATTAAAGGTTTTGCATTATGTTTTTAAGAAAAAATTAAAGAAATTTTTGATATCTAGGACCCTGTCCATTTTTACTATTAATAATTAGAAAAAGATAGGTCTGATCAATTTTTCCCAGTGGAATGTTTTCATTGAAAAATACTTATCCTATATGGCAGGCCTGCACAACAAACGGCCCGCGGGCCACATGTGGCCCGCCAGCACCCACTTTGTGGCCCGCGAAGTAAAGATATATTCTTTATTCCTATTATTTTCTTAATAGCTTTCCCCCTGTCCTATTTTCTTTTGGCCCGCTCAAGTCCTGTTCTATTTTCTTTTGGCCCGCACAAGTTTTTCATAAAGTATTACGGCCCGCCTTACATTGTGAGTTGGGCAGGCCTGCTATATGGCATAGTTTTAAAATAAAATAATAAAAATTATTTATTGTAAGCCAAATTATTTTTATTTACTGATCAGTTAAATCCTATACCAGTGGTAGGCAAACTCATTTGTCAAAAGAGCCAAAAATCACCAGGAGGACGATTAACACATTTTTGAGAGACAAATTTCTTTTCAAGATCCTGTCAAGAACCATGTTTTTTGTTTTTTGGAGTCAAAACAGATTTGTGGCCGGCTAGTTAAGCCGCACTCGGGTCGCTAAAAAGCCGCATGCGACCACTGTCCTATACCTTTTGTTATAGAAACTTCTAATTGTTCAAAAATAAAAATACATTTAATAAAAAAAAAGTTCTTAGAAAAATAATAAATTAGCATTTAATAAGTAAAGCAAGTTGAGTAAAGAAATGGGACATTATGCTGAAATTTCAATCTCTAACTCTAATAATCAGACATTTCATTTATTTCATAAATACTAAATTTATGTGCTTGTAAATAAAAGTTTCAGAATTATTTACAGGAAAATGCTTGAATTTGAAATTAATATTCAAAATATATGGATTTTCTTTTCTTAGTATTTTTTTTTTTTTTTTTTTTAAAGGAAAAGTCAATGGTTATGGTTATATTAAAGATAGATGTTAATTATTGTATGGTATTCCTTAGTGTTTTGCCTCTCCTTTTGTGGTAAATTGTTATGCAGCAAAAATTTCTACTAAATCTGTTGCAGTTAATTATCTATTTGATAAGAATGATTGAACTGTTACAATGATGTGAATAAATGAAACAAATTACATAATATATGACATTCCCGTATTAACATAATATTTACATTTTATGAGCTTCATGAGAGATGCCAGTAACATTTGAGATGCTTGAGAAATTAAGTTACATGTAAATAAAAAATATTGGAACTATGACCAACAAATTTAACTTTGTTTCACAGGTTGCATTTAATGCTGTTTTCATGAGGTAAGGTTCAACCTCTAGCCAGAATTTAAATATTTCGCTATTAGCAAAAAGGGTGATGCTGGAATTATAAATTATATAGTAATAAAAAATAAATAAAATATTTTCTTGTTGTGAATTCATTTTTCGGTATATTTATAAAACATTTTTGTGGTATCAGAATATTGAAATTAATAATTTATTAACATAAAACTGAAGTATTTTTATTTATATTGGGATAAAGTTTAACTGATTTTTTGATTTTTTAAGAACATTGCTTAATTCTGTGTTAGATTTTACAAAGCAATATCATATAATATGGTAAAGGATCATCTTATTCTAACAGTCAATAAATAATTTTAATGAATAATATAAAACTATTTAGAAAATTATAAATGAAAATCAGCATAAACCAAACTAAAATCTCAGACATAAGAAAATGAAAACTCAGTTTATTATTTGTTTATACAAGTCTTAAAATTTATTTGATGCAAGACTTGTAAGAACTCAGTAAGTAGGTCCTTCATCATCATCTTCATCATCATCACCATAGCCTTCTCCATTGTCAAAATAATCCAAATTATAATCAGTTTCCTACCATTTGAAATGAAATATAAAAGCATTTATATAATCTCTTTTAAAACATAGCCCAAAAAGGACTGTATAACTGGACTATGTTTATATCAAATTATAAATAAAGCAACAATGTGACAATTTTGTATGACATGCATGTAATGTAAGAGTTTTATTTTGTTATTTATTATAATGGCCTATATTAAATTTTAGTATATACACTATTATCTCTAGATAATGGATGCTTTGATAGATGGATGCTGACAATCTAAATTTAAAAAAAAAAACTTAAGGAGGATTACAATTTTGTTGAAGTGTGACAATAAACAAGAAAAAATAACTTGCCTCCTCAATATCCTCATCATCAACTTCTTCTTCTTCTTCATCATCTCCATCTTCCTTTTCTATCTTTTTTTCTTCTTCTTCTCCTTCTTCTTGCCCCTCTGCATCAGGATTGTCTGCTTTAACATCATTTTCTTCCAATTTCTGTGCAACATGTACAATATTTGATGAATTTATATAAATCTTGTTATATTTAAAATGTGTTTGTTGTATTTGCATTATGCTAAATAATGCAGATAAAAATATATGAATTTATATCGCTGGTATGGCTTTATTATTAAAGAAATGAAATTAATATAAATATTAAAAGAATGCTGAATAAAAAATGTTGTCAAGAGATTAATAAATGTATATTTTTTATTGCACTCCACAGTATTTTTAAAAAGAAAAAAATGAGAATAGTCTAAATATAAGATCAATAGATCCTCTATCTTAGATCTTACTATTACTGACACTTTTATCATCACTCTTTTGATTATAGGGGCAATCCATAAATGAGGTCACACTAGCTTGGCAAATTGTGGAGCCTCCCTCCCCAACATCATAAATTAGTCACACAATTTATACATCCTCGCTCATAATACATCATTAATTAATGACACCCCCCCCCCCCCCCCCCCCCCCCCCCCCCCAAGAGTGTGATGTCATGTATGGAAAGCCCCCATGTAAAATATTTATGAAATATTTTCTTGGATGAAATTTTGAACACCTACATGTTGAGAAATATTTTTAAATACCTAAAACTACAATCATTGTAAATAATAAATATTACAAAATATATAAAATATACTGAGTTCATCCAATGATCAATAATAATTATTTCTAATTACGTCAGACTCTTAAGTGCTAATTTACTGATTTCAAATTCAAATTTTACCTCCAATAGTTTTGAAACATCATCATCCTTTGTTAGCTTAGCTATCTTCAATTTAGGTTTAACAGTCAAATTTGCTTTTTTCCTTTTAACACGTTCCCTTAATTCATTTGGCAGTCTTGTCCAATCTAAAAAAAAAAACATACAAAAAATGACTTGTACACTCAAAATAAATGGATGCTTAATATTGAATGCTGTGATTGTAAAATTTCCCTATGCAACTGAAATAAACACTTAAAATTGCAAATAATTCAAAAGTAATTCAAAATAAAAACCTAAATAAAAGTTAAAAAAACTAACTCCCAACATGATATAGATTACTAAATTACTATCTCTACAAATAATAATTTTCATACATTTTTTAGTGTTACAGTGGAACTTTGTTTAACATACTTCAAAAATCTGTTTGGTAACTCAGTTCTTAAAAGAAACCTTTGCTAACTGATATAATTTTGTCCCATTGAAACCAATGTTAATTCAGTTAATCTGTTCTAGTTCTAGCCTAAAGAAATATGGTATTTTTACATTAAATGTTATTCTATAATGAAAAATATATCTTTTTATCTGAACCAGCAGCCTCTACATAGCTTATAAAAATGTTAATTCAACTTATGCAAAAATTATCCTACCACCTTTTTCTCCCTTTAATCTGAAATTGAAAATTTAAATTACACATTCATTTTTTTCTTTTCCGTTTTTATGATTATTTTAATTGTTTAATTTTGTGAGTGGGAACATCCCATTCAAAACAGAGGTGCAAGCTACAATTGGCACGCCAGTCATGTTTGTCCACCCCTGCTTTAGAACATTGCTTCGTAAACGCAGTCACTCCTTTAGCCTCTTTATTTTTTAGAATAGTAAAAAAGTCGATTTTATTGCTTGGAGATGTCTCCAGAATGTAGGCCATTATCATGTTAATAATATAATTTGTTTTCTTTACTTCTATACCAACACTATTCCAATAAATAGCACTTTTCTCTTTAGGCTCCATGAAGGCTAAAATAAACAAAAAATACAAAAGTATCAAAAGTAGTGTTTTTAACACAGCCCTTGGATAATGTTTTCTGCAAACATCCCAAAGCACTACTGAGACGGTAGAATTGTGTTTACAGTAATATATATGCATATGTTCATAACCTGAATTATTGTTTGTCAACTGAGACAAAAATTGCTCCCCAAACTTTTTCGCGAACCCATTTGTTCGTTAACCTGAGCATTCATTATCCAAGACTCTACTGTATTCTATTTAAATTTCAATCCCTATAGAGTCCTTTATGTTGAAAATACCTGGAGCCCAGTTAGCAGTACTATCACTAGTTCCTAGCTGGTATTTGTCAGAGTAGCGTTCAATATCTTTCACTTTATTTGGTGCTTTGATGAAAAAGGTGGATTTATGGAATGACTCCCTTAACTCCTGTTTTAGAGCCAACATATAGTCCAGATCTTCATTTTGAGATAAAGGCACTGGCTTGAACATCAGAGGCTTTAACATAAAGACATCAAAAGGAGAAGATATTTAAATCATAGCATCTCCAAATTTATTACAAACTATAATAATTGTGTCAGTGGAATTAAAAATAAAGGTCTTCAGTAGAAGAGTCCAACCTTTTGGACAAGAACCACACTTATTATGTTGCTAGACTCATTCGAAGGTACCATGTGTTAAAAAGAAAGCATGTTTACAATAAAATAACTCAATAACAAAACAAATGTACAGATACGGGTCAATGTAAAGGTGCACATCAAAGAATGCATAGTATCATCAAGACAAAGAATACAAAATTTTCACTCAGTAAAGGTAACAAGTTATGATTAATACACTCTACAACATGCATAGCTAAAAATGTCAAAACCACAATAAGACTTGAATAATTTGGTATCAAAAATAAAAATAGTGCCAAGAGAGACCTGAGAGGAAATAATACAAACATTGGACTTACTGGAAAAAGAGGTGGTGGCTGAGCAACAGTGGGCAAAATTTCTCCTCGGCCTAGACCAAGAGCTTCAATATTTATGGACATACCACGTCCTCGACCTCGTCCTCTGCCACCCATTTTCTAATGCTTAAAATATTTTATTATAGTTTATGTTAAGGATTGGATGAAATGGTTTCGAAGCTTTTAATTAATGTAAGCTGTCGATCACATCTAAATGAAGAAGCATTATCATTAATAAAATAAAATAAAAGTCAGTATATAAATATAACAAAAGAAATCATTTTATAGCATTCATAAAGTTGCATAACTACTCTTAATTTCACACTACAACAAATGTGGTTTTGAAAATTGACTTTTAACAATAGTTATAGTACTTATAGGCATAGACGAAACCAAAATGACAGGGCAGTCTTTTCTTGAACCAGCATTATTCCTCTGGTCAAACATTTCCAGCGGAACCCATTTTATTGAGATAGAATTAGATCACACTGTAAGGAATATTTGCGCTGTTGTATATTCTCAGCAGCAAGATCAGTTGATGCAGTCCAGTCTCTCACTTTGAGATTAAGAATACATTTTGTCAATCATTATGTACTTCTTTTTTATTTTTGTATTTATTTCCATATACTTTAGTTCACTACAGTACCAGTTCATGGATTTTTCTCAAGGCAAATGCTCCACAATCATTTAAGTTACTTCAGGTTTCTGCAGATATGTCTGATTTTTTTTTTTTCCTTTTTCTTGTTTTTACTTGTGGCTGTAGGCGTAGTTTTAGGGTTCAGGTTAGATTTAGGGATCGATTTAGGGTTCGGGTTAGGCATAGGGATCGATTTAGGGTTCAGGTTAGGCATAGGGATAGATTTAGGGTTTGGGTTAGGCATGGGGGGGATAGATTTAGGGTTCGAGTTAGGCATGGGATAGATTTAGGGTTCAGCATAGGGATAGATTTAGGGTTCGGGTTAGGCATAGGGATCGATTTAAGACATTTTTTTCATCCATTTTTAACGTTTTCTTCCTAGTTTTAGAAAACGTGATTTATTTTATTTTTCCATGGCCGCCATCTTGGTTGCCTAGACCCGTGAACACGTAAAAGTGCGCGGGTCGAGGTAACAAAGATGGCGGCCATGGAAATAGATGCCGGCCGCTCTCTCTGAATTTATCTATTATTTTTATTAAATTATATAAATTATATGGCATCCTTCCATCTTCGCGTGACAGCTATGCTGAATTATACATTCAGCATAATTGACCATACTATACTAAATGCAAAGAGGTGCCATGTTTTTGGCTCCATAATATCATAAATAATATGGCATGGCATCTCATCTCTTCTGCTACTTCTTTGCATTCATTCATTCATTCTCATTCATTGACCAAATTAATTTATTGGCAAATATTCAATAATATTGGAAAAAAAATTGTTTGTTTTGTTGGCATGGCTTACCACGAGAGCGATCCTGGAAGGCTGTCACGGCAATAAAATAGTGCTACTATCTCTCATTCATTTTATCGACAACATATTTAAAAGTTAGTCTAGTTGCAACTCCTTTGATATTTTGTGATGAAGAGAAAGAGTGAATCGCTGAACCGGATGTAAAAGAAGTAAACAAAGGGACTAATAATTTTTTAATTTAGCAATCGAAAGTCAGTTAGTGACTCCTGAAAAGTAAATACAATTATAAAGCAGAATAAATAAAAATTAAAAATATTTAAAATTTAATAAGTATTTAATGTAGATAAAATTTGATTTCCAATATATTTTCATCGTGAAATTATTATAATACTGCTTATATGCTCCCTTCGCGACCTTCCATTACATTACAACATTGACCTAAAAATTTTTTTTTTATTTTACAACTCCTGATTGTGCCACCATGTCAGTGTATTTCTGATAAATATATTTTTAAATTTTTTAATTGGAAATACTTATTGTTGTATTTGTTTAGTAAAAGGTATTTTGTAACAGTTCCCGTTAATCAGCAAATACTAGCTACATGTATAGGCAAAATTTTGTAAAATATTGGTCCAAATTTGTTTTAGACTGGAACAGGTCTAGCGCTAGTCTATTCTAGTATATTATATGATTATGATATATGTCGACTATGAGTATGATTTTGATGAATAATGTCAATGATGGTAACTTAGTAAAAGTTAGTACTTAGTACCATAAACGATCACTATGTAAAATATGTTTTTATTTCTGTCTTCTTAACTTACATTTTTCTTCAGATTTGCCATTTTTGTAGATGTAGGCATGTAGGCCTAATTAATAAAATAAGTGAGGCTGCAACTTATAATAAAATTGAGTCACTAATTATTAAATTTATTAAAAAATAAGTACTAAAGACTAAATTAATGAAATAAATGGGCTGCACTAGTACTTGTCTTGTTTTAAAATCTTCTAATTCTCTATTTCTCTTTAATTTAGTACTTTCAGTTAGTTTAGACTGGGATGAATAATCATTATGAGGGTTTCTACAAACAGGTCCATGCCAAATTCAACTATGAGGAGTATTGTTACATTGGTCAAAACTTACTTACATAAAGTCTAAGATTAACAATGTAACAATGACAATCTGTCAGTAGTATACTATATTTTCTTTTCAATAATTTATGAAATACCTAGGCCCTGGTCCTGACCCTAATTTATAATTTATACAAATTATATTCTTCTTCTTCTTCTTCTATATCTTAAGGGCCCACGATCAATTTATTGATCATTTTGGCTCCTATGCATGTAGATGGGATTTGCAATGTTTCTGTTACTGGTGGTGATGAGGAAATTATGCACTAGGGGTTTGAAGGCTTGAGGCAATAGACACAAATGTGTCTAGTGTTGTCGCCTCAACTGTTCCTTTTGAAAGATGGTTCCAGTCCCTGATTGTCTTGGGCAGGAATGAGCAGCTCCTATACTGGCTTCTTGCTGGTATGAGCCTGAATTGCCTGTCATGGCCTCGTCGCTGTCTATGGGGGAGAGGGACGAGTTTCTGTTTAATACTGGAACAGTGGACCAGCCCATTATTTATCTTGTACATCATGGAGAGCCTGGATTGTCGTCGTCGTTTCTCCAATGGTGACCAGCCTAGTGTTTCTAGCATGCTGCCAACACTAGAGGTATTCCTGTAGCGGTTTAGGACAAAACGTGCTGCTCGTCGCTGGACCGCCTCCAACCTGTCAATGCTCTTCTGGGTAAATGGGTCCCAGACTGAAGATGCATAATCTAAAATCGGACGGATAAAGGCTTTATATGCTCTTTCTTTCACACAGGAGTTGCCAATCTTTAGATTTCGCCTTAAGAACCCCAAGGCTTGGTTTGCTTGGTTATATACATTGTTAATATGCTCGTCCCAGCGGACCTCTCTATTTTTATACTATTATTAACTATTAGTGGCCAACCCTAATTGACTTAACCCTATTTTTGCCAATTTTTTTCCCCCCCCCCCCCTCAATTGCCACATAATTATAACACATACTAGACACTTTTATTGCACATCATCATAAATTCGTGCCTCCCCCCATTTCCAATATAGCGTGACATTATTTAAGAATGACTCCATCTGCATTGACCATATCATTATCAATGTACATGTCATGAAATACCTCAGTTTTCACTCAAAATGTTAAGCCCGTATATATATATTATGAGTATATGGTTTAAAAAAATAAGTAGGTTGTATGATTGTTTATATTTGAATTTATATAAGGTTCTCATTTGAAAAATAACATTCAGTGCAACTGCCTTAAATTCACAACCCGCACTATAATATAAGTCAATTTCAAGTAAGTCACAGATAATGATTCATTTTCCATATTGATTCACTATGCCCCAGGTAGTGATTCACTGTGCCCCGGTACTTAACCCTGCACACTTTGAAACACTCTGTGAGCAAGTATATTATATTTAGCCACATTTTAAGGATTCCTGTCCATGTCCACGATGTAATACAATCAATGTGCACATAAAACATTAAAATATCTGTGAAAACTTTTTGAATATTAAAGAAAATAAGATTCCTGATCCACTGTGTTCAGACTCCCCCTATATATATATATTTATATATATATATATATATTTTACATATATAAAATGCTCCCATATTACTTTTAGTTGATATAGCATAATTACAAAAAGGTTGACCTTTAATAAAAAAGACTCAAAATTATTTTGTCAGATAAGCAAATTTGTCCCAGCAGACAAGGAAATGTAAAGAAAATATCTCAGGCCTTGATAAATGTATAATATATAAAAAGAATTGTATCAAATTAATGTTCATACACTAGACAGAAACAAGAAGCAAAATGGAGCAAGGTGAGAGACCAACTTCTTTTGCAGAGTAAAGGACTCAAGTCTTAACTTTATTCATAAGAAAACTATTCATTTCAATCAAAATATTTTACAAAAATATATTTTAAAAATTCTTCTATCATTTAATCATAGATAAATGTTATAATTCAACTGGAGATTGGGTTGACAGCTTCAAAACAAAAAATAAATGGGTGGGGACAGAGTAATCTGTTTTTGCTTTACAAAAACTTAATGTTAATGCACTTAGAGACTCATCTTGTGTCTTTTTCCCTCCCTTCATTTGGAGTACACATTTTTATCAGTGCCATTAAACTGGATGTAGTGAAGGCAACAGTTTTTATTATATGTATAGGCACAAATTACCAATAATATTTATTTAAGCATTATAATTAACCCCTTATAAGCATAAGAAAAGAAAAAAATTCTGTTGAAAATTAAATAATTTAAGGGAGAAAATTATCATAAAAGGGATATTTAAATGCAAGTTATGTATAACATAGTTTTTTAGTTCACATAAATTTCAGGGAATAAAATAATGGGTGTTATGAAATTATTACATTTAAATGAAATCAGAGATTTAAAATAATAGTAAACATAGCCATTGACTATATTAACATCAGCAAAAATTAAACCAGTATTTAAAAAAAAAAAATCAGTTATGATTGAAGCATATTTATTGTTTGTTTACTGTTAGGTACGTTATAAGGCTTTAACAATTTAATCAGTTTTAATATTTGGCTTGTTAGAAGAACATTACATAACAAGGAATGAAACTTTTGTATAATAAGAAAAACAATACCAAAGCTAGTGATATTTATATGAATCAATTTATTTACACTAACAATTCTGATATCATAACTAGAAAAGCAAATATTCTAGAAATAAGAGAAGGAAAGAAAATATTTATCAACTTACAGCACTGTGTCTGTTAAGAAAAGGTGGTTATAGTAATCCACTCACACAGTGAAACTTTATTAATCCACACAAGCCATGGAAATGGTGAAAATATTAACCCACAAAAATAATGACAATGAGAAAATATTAATCCACACAAATAATGGAAATGTGAAAATATTCATCAACACAAATAATGGAAATGTGAAAGTATTAATCCACACAAATAATGGAAATGTAAAAATATTAATCCACACACACACAATGGTAAGTAATCTGTCTCTCTTCTTTTTCTTATGCCTTTTTACCCCGTTTGGGGCATAGACCATCCACAAAAATTTTCCATTCATCACAGTCTTGTGCTTTCCTTTCCAGTTGCTTCCAGGTGTATCCCATATTTTGTGTGTCTGCCTCTAGCTCGCGTCTCCATGTATTCTTTGGCCTTCCTCTATTTCTTTTTCCCTGTGGATTCTATGTTAGGGATTAATTGGTGATGCTATCTGGGTTTTTTTTTGGAGAGAATGCCCTATCCACCTCCTTCTTTTTTTTTTATGATGTCTTTATCAATGGGCACCTGGTTAAGTCCTTTTTAGTAGATCTTTGTTAGTGATGGTATTTCGCCATTTGTTGTTCGGGATCTTTCTAAGGCATGTGTTTATGAAGGTCTGTACTTTCTACGTAATGCTCGCTGTTGTTTTTCAAGTTTCTGCTTCATATAGGAGGACTGTTTTGACATTTGTGGTAATCACTCGCTTTGTCTTAAAGTCTTGCCCAAGTCTGTCTAAATTACAATTAACCATCTTTTCAAAATTTATACAGTAGAAGATTAAAGCAATTGTTCCCAAACGTTTATGATTCTCGACACACTTGCAAAAAAATGAAGT